GCATCCCAGGGCCTGGTAAGCTCAGAATGACTGCGCCCTCCACTTCCAGCGCAAGTCAGCTGGGAGCAGTGGCTTTAGACTTTGAAACCACAGCTCACAGTAAAAATACGTCTTACAACACAATTCACTACACAAGGGCACGCATCTGTAATTGGAACCGCTTACCCTTATGTGCACTGTGTTCTCATGTTTCCTATTACCTCTCTTCTATTTTTTTTTAAGTGCTGGTTGTGACCACATTGATTTCACAACCCATGAATGTATTTCAGTGCTTACCTAGGTCAGAGGTTCAGGTCCTGCCACCTGAGTTCTGGAGAGGACAGTTCACTCAAGGCAATTGTATCTGCCCCCAGGAAGACAGGTCTTCAGACCCCTGAGCCCAGAGAAAAAGGAGGCAAATGGAGATTTCACTGGGTTTCCAGATACGTTAAGGTGTTTGCTTTGTTTGTTTAAGGTAGAAGACAGGTTCTTTTGTTCGTTTTTGTTTTTTGAGCATTTATTCTTTATGCTTGCAGTGTGAAGAATTATCGACTAAGACTGCAGTGGAAATTATTCCAGTTTAGCATGAGATTTGTAGGGGAGCTTTTGCAGGAAGAAAGAACAAGAGATTTAATACACTGAAAAAGGTTCATGTGACATTTCCTCCTGTTAAATGCAAGAAAGGGGAAGACAGCTGTCCTTAAAAACGAATTATATTCTTGTGGATCTGGGATGATCTAAATGTTTTTTGTTTTTTCAGAAGCCAGGGGGATAGCTAGATGGCTTGAGGAAGTCCCATCCAGCCCAAGGAGTCACAGCCTCTTCCGGTCGCCCCCAACAAAACCCGCCTATGGATTTTCATGCTGGGTCGGTGTTGAGTGAGGAGGCATGGGATCCCTGAGCAGAAAGACCCATTACCAGACCCTGGAAAGAGGGCCAGGCCAGGGGAAGCCAGAGAGAAAGAGGGAGGGAGAGAGGGAGAGAGAGAAGCAGGAAGAGAGAGGGAGAGAACGCACTGCAGCAGGCGAGGGCAGGAGGGCTGCTCGCTGCATGCCAAGTGCTCTAGACAGGTTGGGAAGCACAGGGTGCTAGGGCAGGGGTGCAGGAAAGGGCCCGCCCAAGCAGTGCCGTGAGCTCAGTGTTGGGCAGGAGACAGGTCTGGCTCCAGTTGTACCTGCACTAATGAGCTGGAAGAGAGAGGAAATGTCCCGGCCTGAGAAGGTGAGCAATGGAAGGCCCTCCTCATGCCAGCTGGACAGGAGAGGATGGAGCAGGATGGAAAGAGGTCCTATCCCATGTCCACACCCTGGTTTCTCAAGCTGGAGGCTGGGCCTTCCAGGAGAAGGGACTTGGGCAGTGAAAACGGATCGGCTGAGGCTGAAATGAGACCTCCTGGGGGGAAAGGGATTAGAAAGATGCCAAAGCACAATGGCAAGGGACTGCAGAGGCACCTTGCCAACCCTGGGGAGGGAAAAGGCCCAAGGGGCCCCAGGGAAAAGGCCCAAGGCCTCAGCTGTAGCCACAGGCCCTGAGGAGAGAATGTGAACAGAAGCTGGATGGTCTAATGAATTTAAGAAAGGGCAGCAAAATGGAGGAATCCTCCCAGCCCGGCAGGGAGGCAGAAAGGGCCACACATGTTCACAGACTGTAAACACCAAGAGGGACGAAGCTTGTCTGGGTCTGCAGGAAGCTGGCTAGGCCTGACAGAGGTGGGGTAGGGCCAAGGTGGAGGGCTGAGCCTGGCATTCCCTGAAGTGGACCGTCCTGAGGTCCCAGAGGCAGACTCCCTTTGGGAGCCCCAGAGCCAGCTCTGAAAGGCCCTCTAGAGCCAGGAGCTGGTCATAGCCCCAGACGGGTCACTCTCACAGGGGTCCAGGATCCTGGCATGTCTGTTTGGGTCCTGAGCATGGCGCGAGGGAGTCAACTGTGTCTCCAGCTCCACAGGGCAGCCAGGGCAGCTGGACAAATATGGATGGAGCATTCGCATTAAACTTTCATGTGCTGGGTCCTAGGATGCCTCCCAGTGGCTTCCACAGGGACCCTCACCCTCACTCCATTTCTGGTACAGAAACTGTCTACCAGGCACAAAAGCCCCTGGGGCCAGTCTGACCTTCTGTGTGCATCTTGTTCATCACTGGCTGGAGGCTAAAACTGACACTGTGACCAGGGACACGTCATCTCCCATCTTGGGGCCTCAGTTTATCCACCTGTAGCATGAGGAGGACACTGAGCCCACTCAGCATGCAGTGATTTTCCTTGGCAACAGCCCTCTGGTTGTCATGGGAACAGCCCAAGTCGAAGGTGGACCCAGCAGGCAGGGGTGTCCCTTCCAGCCTGTGACTAAGATGGGCCTTGTTCTGTCTGCCCAGCATCCCTCCTCTATCTTATTCTGGTAATAGCAGCCCTTTTCCTTTAGGGAACTACCCTTTCATTTTCTAGATAATTCTGATGGGGCAGCCAATTGCAGTACCTGCCATGTGGCACATGACCCAAACTGGCCAAATTTTCTCCCATGATTTGACCCCCTCCACACACACACACACAGTAATAATAGAACCATCCAATGGCAGCTCCCCAGAAATACATACTCCAAGGGGTTCCTGGGACTGACAGCCCCATCACTGCCTGAATTCCTGACCTTCCTGATTCCTATCTGTTCAGTTCATCTTTCCATTATGTTTGCTCTTTAAAATCTTTCTAGTAACCCCACTCCTTTTTCCATGTACCAGTTAGTCAGAGTTCTTCCTGTTGCTTGCAGCCGAGGAACCTTAATTTATGCACAAACCGAGAGAGAGGCCTGGTGGACTAGAAGCCTGGCCCTTCCTCTCTGCAGCGCCCCCTCCTTTGTGGTCCCAGGGCAAGTGGGCTCAGCTCGTGCAGGAGCCAAAGTGGGGGAGAGTGTTTGCTCAACTAGACTGCGCACATCAAAACGAGCACATTTTATCCCAGATACGAATGGCTCGGGACCTTTCACATTGTAGGAGTTTAGCTGTGCTGAATCAAGATCTTACAGCTTGAAGCCAGTAATTCCAGTGGGGACAAAACTTAACGAGTATCAGGGGCTAATATGTGGGGGGCAGATATAAACAGCTACTGAACAGACCAGCACTGGGCCAAGGCAATTCCCAACACGTATGAGTGATGAGTGCTGGGCGAAAGTGGCCAGGGCTCATTTCAGGGTGTTTTGGGGGGAAGCCCACTCTGTCCCCAAAGCTTTCCACCACTTCATGAATACTTCCCTTCCCTGAAACAAGAGGCAAAGGGCATTCAGTTAACACGTAGACATAAGGCTGGAAATGCATCCACCCAGAGGAGAGCCAGGCAATTTTTCACTCACTCTCAAGTGTCCCTGATCCATGCAAACCCTTTCCTGAGCTCAGGTCTCCAACCAGAAAAACGGCTGGGAGCAGAAAGGTTTTCGGAGGCCTGGGAAACCAGGAACCAGGGCAGCTCTGGGAGTCTGGGTGGCAGGAACCCATGGGCTGGCTGGCTTTGGGTGATTTCAAGCCAACCACCTGCCGTGATCAGCAGCAACCTTACCCCAGAAGCAAATTGCCCACTAGAGAGTCTGATGGAAGTCCATGAGGTCCTGGGGGTGGAGGACTGGGAGAAGCCCCATGGCTGACGGTCCTACCAGGAATGCCTAAAGTAGGAGAGGCAGAATTCCCCAAAGGAAAATTGGGTTTCTGTCATCCAAGGAAGAGAAAGGAGTGCTGGTCATATTCATATAGCAGATGCTCACTACACATGGTATACAGTTTAGAGAGGAGGGACACGATGGGGCGGGGGGTATGGGAATTTCCAGGACACTCTAGAATCTGCTATGGGGGCCAAGGCTCTTACTCCAGCCCTGGATTTCATCTCCATTTTCCCCTATAAAAGCAAGCTTGGGGAAAGAAGGCTGTTTTTCTATTCTTGACAGCTCGATAGAATTGTCTCCTTAGCTTCCACTCACCCTTGGCTCCTGCTAGAGTAATTACCACCCACCTGTTCTCCATGCAAGAATTCACAGCCAGTGGACACACATCTGGCTTGCAAAAGACATGCTTGGAAGTCTCCCAGGCTGCTTGGAACAGTCTGGGGACAACACGGGGTCAGCCACCAATTCAAAGGGAAGGAAACAGCTGGCCTGAGAGCCATGGTCACTGTGGCCTAAGTGGCTGCCCACCTCTCACCCCCCCAGGCAACTTGCTGGAAGTGGGGCTGGTTTGCCCAGGGATGAGCCAGTCCCCTGAGATCCGATACTGGGCCCTGCCTTCTTCCTCCAGCACATTGTTGTCCTCCCAGGCCACCTGCCCCTCCAGTGGTGGGGGAGGGGTGACTGCCCTGCCTTTCTGGCAATTTCTTTACTTTTCTTCTCATCACTGTCCGCATCACTCCCTTCTGAAGCACCCTGGGGCAGCTCTGGCTGAGAAGGGGCCCAACCAGCTTCCCCACCACACTATCCATGCACATACATCCCTTGCTTTGTAGCCTCTGAGGCCTCTGAGCCTCAGGGCTTATTAGAATTTAGCTTTAAAACCACTAATCAGGTCCTACTTGCCGTTTTCAGATGGCAAGAGTCAGACTAAACAGTCATCCACCCCCTGTGCCCTCTCTGTTAATTCTGGGCACCTAATCCGGCCTCCCTGGAGAGCAAACTGGTGCGGTGTGATCGGCGACAGGCTCCAAGAACACTGCACATTTTAATGTTTCAAGAAGGAGGGGGGCAGCCACAAGAGCCAGACATGGGGGATAGGGGTGCGCCCCGAGAGTGGGATTTTGCCCCTTGCCTGCCCTGGACTCTCTGTCTCCCCTCACCCCCTCCCACCACGCTAGGAGAAAGTCCCTGACCCCACTTGGCCCCTCCCCATTACTCACCCTGAGGCGTAGGAAGGCCTCCTGCCAGAACAACAGATCCCACACAAGCTCCAGCCTGAACATTCCTCTCCACCCCAGGGGTCAGGGTCAAATGTGGGGTATTTTCCCAAGCCCCGGGGAATAGTTGCAGCTACTGCCTCTGGCTAGATGGGCAGCTACCAGGGAAGGTGGGCTGGAGAAGAGAGCTGTCAGCTGGCTCTGGAAGCAGGGCTGTAAGGGGAAGGGGCCCAGGGAGGAGGGGCCTGAAATAGATCACCACATTCAGTATGGGGAAGCAGAAATAGAAGCTGGTGACGGGAAAAGGAGGTGCGAGCAGAAGTCAGAGCCGAGGCTGAGATCTCCCTGGCCCAACCCAGCTGGTCCTCATCCAACTAACCCCTCTGGGTTGGAGGGGGTCTGGACTCTCTGGAGACCCTCACTGGCCTGTCTGCCACTCGATCCTGAAGCAGAAGCCAAAAGCAGCCACAAGCCTGGAGACAGCAGCTGGGCCAAGAGCCCCCTGACAGGGGCCAGGCAATGCAAGCATTGCAGACCCCTTTGCAGCCCTGCAAGGGAACAGAGGTGAAGCAGAACCACCAGGGAAGGTTCTGAAGATGAAAGAGGAGGCAAAGGCACTTGCCTCTGGGCCAGATCAGGAGGAGCTGCTGAGAGAAAAGTCTCTTGGGCCTCGGTAGGTGGTTTCATCAGCCAAGGCTGGCCTAAGGCTAAACTGTGCACAGTAGCCTCCTTCCTTCCCACTTCTCCCTCCTGCCCCTCATCTGACACTCTGCCCTGGGAGCACTGGGCAAAGAAGCCAGTGCCAGACGCCTGAAATCAAGTTCTAGCTGCTTTCTGTCGAGGCTGTGTGATCATCAGAAAATATCTCAAGCTCTCTGACATTCTACTTCCCCTTCTGTAAAAATGGACTGAGATCTACCTCGTAAGACTGTCAAAATGAATGAATGGGAGAATGAAGGTAAAGATCTTAGCTCTTATTTAGTTAGTGCTGGATACTTTGAATGGGACAGGAAGAGAGGCAGGGGGAATGGGGAAGTATTGAGAATCTTCAAATTTTCAAGATGGGTGCTTGATGAATGGGGAGCTTCCAAAGATTTTTAAACCCCATTTCCAAGCTAGAGGCTGGGCTGGATTGCGGGTGGCGTGGACCTAAGTGAGGGAAAGTTATCCTGAGCTTAAAAAATGGAGAGCGGGAAGTCTGATCTTATAACACCCGTCAGCCCAGAGCCCCAGGCAGACAGTGCTCCCTCGGGAGGAGGAAGGGCTGGGTTCACTCTGTTGCCCTCTGGCAAGCACTTAGCTCCTGTTTTCCTCCTTAGCGTGGCTGTAACCTGGCCCCCTTTACGCTGCTGATACAATGTCCAGGAACAGTTCAGAGTCCCCAAACACACAGCATTAGCTGCTTTCAACATCAGTCTCCTGATTGGGTCAAAACAAACGGCAGGGAGTCAGGACCCAGGGCCCTCACCGTGTGCCCAGGAATGCCGACCACCATGACACCCTAAACTAGAAAAAGCTAATATTTGCTGAGCACACAGTTTCCCGGGCCTTCTGTTAATGTGAGTAGATTGAGGTTATCTAGTTTTGGTGAGGACCCCACAGAAGAGATGCTATGTCCTTCTCATTTTGTTATGATGGGAGCATGTTTTATTACTGATGATGTCAACCTTGACCACATGGTTACCCAGGTTCTCGCACTGTGTCTGTACCGTAAAATGACTCCTATCCTTCCCTTTGGAATTAATAAATACCTATGTTGGTGTGGGGAGACTTTTCGAGACTGTGCAAACGTGCTGATTCTCCTCCAACTTCCTCCCACCGGTTGCAGCATCCCTCGCTGGCGGCTCTTGCCCACAACAGTTGCTGCGTTGCTGATGCGTGGGCCCTAATGGTGCGTTTGTATTTCCCTCATTGCCGTTATATTTATTCATTAGAATTCTTTTTCAATAGGGACTCATGGCTATTTATTTTATTCTATGAGTTACAATGTAACAGTATAATCATTTGATTGTGTCGTTCGAGTTGCCCCACCCATTGCGAGCCCCCACAGTTGGTTCCTGTGTCCTCTCCACCCGCCCACCCTTCTCCCAGCACCTCCTTCTCTTCGGGCACCACGACATGTTCTGGCATCGTTTTGTTCAGTAAATATATTTGAATGAGTGAATGGAGGAATAAAAGAGAAGGTGCCCAGCCCCTCTGTGATTCCCCAACTAAGAAGGTTGATCCAATTCAATTTTTAGCTGAGAAGAGGAACAGGAAATGTTCTGATGCCCCCCCGTCCCCCAATCTCTCACTTCGCTTCCCTCTGAGGGTCAAGGAGGGACAACAGAAACAGTGCCTGTGCAAATCGCAGGCTGGGAAATTGATCTTCCCTGGGAGTCCCACTCGTGGACTTCCCACACCTCCCGAGCAGTAGGACGGAGGGCGTAAGAGCACAATGCGGCAGCCAGAAACCTGGGTCTGACCCATGGCGCTGCTACTTACTGTACAACCTCCCCGTGCCTCAGTTTCCCCGCCAGTAGAATGCAGACGATAGTTACAGCACCGGCCATGAGGTTGAGTGATGCTTCAATTAGTTTAAATGTTATATTGCTTAGAACAGTGCATGGTACACGTAAACATTCAAGAATTATTAGCCAGAGGCCTGGTGCTCCCAGGAATGAAGCCAGCTTGCTGAACTCACCCAGCAATCAGCTACTGAGCCTGTAGGAGGCGCTGTTGTCAGTCCTGGGGTTCTGTCCGTGGGCAGAAGAGACGAAGTCACTGCTCTCAGGGAGCTTACATTTCGCTGGAATGAAAATAGTTCCGCCCTAACCAAAGATGGCCATACTTTTTAAGACAGCAGCTGTTGCCCGTCCACCAAACCCATTTACCCTGTCCCGGTAGAAGTGTACGTTTTCTTCTGGGGACCCGCCCAGTGCTGTCATGGGAGCCAGGTCTCAGCCAGCCAGGGCGCCGTCCCACCCGAGCCACAGTGAGGGCTGTCAGCAGGAACCTGTGAGCTAAGAGCTGAGGCCGTGAGGGGCTGGACGCCAAGGGCAGAGCCAAGAGTGAAGGGCAAACCGAGTCCCGATGGCGTGGCTCGAGCCCCTGAGGCAAGAATGGGCCTGGAGTATGTCCAATGATGGGCCTTTCAGTTACCAAGCCAACACATTCCCTTTAACTACTCATTCCTGAAAGAGTCTTGAGCTTACTTCAGTCCCTCAGAAAGCTCACGTCTGAGCAGGAAGCTGGGCTTGTTTGGAGCCCCCGATCCGAGTACTTCTTAGTCTCCTGTTTTACCTGCATGCACAAACCATCACACACAAGTGTATCACCACTCCACCCTCTGTCCCGCCTCTGGGCCACCCACCCCACTCCCTTTCCAGCAAGAATCCTGCTCAAGGGCAGTAATCAGCCTCCCCTCCCCCATTCTCCAGAGTTGACGCCTTTCCCTCCTGTTCACCTGGTCCCTGCCCCCAAACTCCAATTCCCAAGGGTCTCCTTCCCAGCAAGTCTGGCTGAACTCCCAGCCCTCAGTCTTGCCTCTCGTGGCTGTGCCTCCTCCTCTCCAGCAGGACTGAGGGGCACTGCTAGTCCCTGATGGCTGGCAGAAGCAAGCCATCCCCAACCTCAGAAGTCACACCGAGGGTCACAGCCTGTCCCTGAGGCCTTCCCGGGACTCCAGGCCTGGGCAGCTTCAGGGCGGACTCAAGGATGCTTGAGTTCTCCTACCTCTACATCCTGGTAGAGGTCACATTCCGAGGCCAGACCAGGAGAACCCAAATTTCCACTCTGCTTGAGATTTTCATCTCCCGTCACCACATTCCAGGGACTCTTCTGTCCAAACCACTCCCTCAAACACTGACTTATGACATTTCTTGTGTTGTCCTCTAACCCTCTCATGTTCACTTTCACTCTGTGCAAGACTTGCCTCCTTGACTAACTGCTGTCTCAGCTCCAGCTGCCACAACAAAACACCGCAGACAGGGTGGCTCACACGATGGAAATTTATTTCTCACAGTCTGGAGGCCAGGAAGTCCAAAGTCCAGGGGCCAGCAGAGCTAGTGTCTGGTGAGAGAGAGCCCTCTTCCTGGCTTGGAGATGGCCACCTTCTCGCTGTGTCCTCACATGGCAGAGAGAGGGTGGATTCTGGTTTCTTCCTGTTCTTATAAGGACACCAATCCCATCATGGGACCTTCACCTTTATGACCTTATCTAAACCTCATAACCTCTCACACCCTATCTCCAAACACCATCTCACCGGGGATTAGGGCTTCCACATATGGATTTATGGGGACAAAAACATTTAGTCATAGCAACTGGTCTGTAAGCCTAGCATAGTGTTCAATAAACACTGGGTGAAGAAATCAGTGGTTGAATAAGTTAATTATTGAATGAATGGTGAAGCAAGCAAGTGAATGAATGAATGAATGAATGAATAGCCTAATGAGGAGAGGCAGCAATAGGACAGGTGGAGTAGCAGAAGGGTCATAAAGTCCTAGGGGTGTGGCGGTTGGGCACGGGCAGGAAGAGCAGAGCAAAAAACAGGCAGGAGGAGGGGGCAGCCGAGTGTCAGATTGACAGGAAGGAGACCCCCACCGGAAGATCTTGCAGCTGCTTGTTTACGTGAGAACAAGAACCACAAACCTGGGGTTTTGGCTGGGGCTCTTTTACAGAGCCTATTTACTAGCTTTTAATACAAACCTTTTTTTTTTTTTTTTTGATAGACAAGTGCCATTTGTCAAGGACCTCGTGCATCTTGCTTTAATGGCCAATGCCTCCCGCCCTCAGAAGCCGTCACCAGCACACCAGGTACAGCCTCAGGGGCGGGGCCTAGGAGATCCAGTGGCCCTGAAGTGCCTTCGAAATCCCTTAGGCAAGAACTCCAAGGCCTCTCCAGCCAGGGGGTCACCATCTCCCCTCCAAAGCTCCCCTTCTCCACCCCCTGCCACCAGCTCCCCGTCCCTGGTGCTGCACTGGCCCTACGGGGGCCTGCAGGGCCCACACAACTTAAGAGAACTGCAGATGTCTGCATGGATTTGAAGCTACGAATAAAAAGCCATGGTTTGTTTTGAATGGACTGTGGCTCTGGAGAGAAAGCCTGGGGATGCAAATCCACCATGAGCGGGATCCAGATGGGAAGCAGATGTGAGCTGTTGGAAGTCCTTGCTCCAGCGCCTAAGGCCCACCTTGGAGAATTCCTCCCTTTCCCTGCTGAAAGCTGAAGGGCAAGGCCGTGCTCGGACTCCACGGGAGCCCCAGCTCAGGGCTCGGTCTGCTTGGCTGTCTCCCCTTATTTTTTTCTTTCCTTTGCATTTCTCTTCCTCTTGTGTCCCTGTAGGATGTGCCTGTTCTCCAGGCCTCCCCTCCGTCTCTCTCTGCTTCTGTCTCTCTGCCTCCCAGTCTCTCTCCATTTTAGTCACTCCATCTCTTTGTCTTTATGGCAATGCCTGTCTTACTCTCTCTTGCTCTCAGACAGTCTCTGACTCCATGTCTGTTCTGGGTCTCGGGCTCACACTCCCTCCCTCTTCTTGGCTGCTTCCCAAGGCCAGTGCCCTACCCTCCATGCTTGGATAAGTCTGCCAATCAGCTTGAGCTCCTGGGGTGAGGAACAGGAAGAACAGGCCGAGGGCAGACAGCAGCCCCGGTTCCATGAAGGAAAGCGAGTTTAAGCCAGAGAGGCCCGGCCAGGCCAAGGCCAAGAATTTCTCACTTCCCCGCAGGGCTGGATATTTAGTCTGAGTTGGGGAGGCAGGTGGCACCCAGCCTGGAGTTCCCGAGTCTGCACAAGCAGCTCTGCCCACAACCCCTCCCTAGCTTGAGGTCCCCTTCAGAGTGACATCTCTCTCTCTCTGAGTCCTAGTCTGGACCCTGCCCAGTCGGGCACCAGGAAGAGGCAGCACAGGTGGGCACCACAGTCATTGCGTCTCCCGAGCACACAGCCCTTCCCCTTTCAACCCCTGCTGGGCCTCAGGCAGTCTCCAAAGGCTAAAGTGCTTTTTCTTTGGCTTGCATACAGTTTATAAGTACTTTACCCAATTGATACAGACTCCACATCCAGTTGTCTTATTTTCCTTTATGGGTCCACAAACTTCTGAGCTCTCAGACTGAAACTTGGGGCCATTTGTGGCACATTCCAGAGGCCAGTAGGGATGTCACACTTTAACTTTAATCTCATATACAGGCTGTGAATACTATGGCTTTGTGGGGGGGAACTTGAGGAACGCACTAGAACACATCCCAAAATAAGCTGCTGTCATTCCCAGGAGACTGAATCATTTAGAGGGCAATTTCACAAATGCTTCTGCAGATGTGAATGAGAATGCTGTCAGAATATGGCTGGGGTCCGTCTCCTTGGCACTCTCCACGTGTGCTCAGGGCTACCTTCTCCACCCAGCATGCATTTATTCTAGGATCCAGGGACACCCTCTGGTCCCTGGCACTGGGTTAGCACCTGACACGGGTTAGCACCTGGCAACTGGGTTAGCATGAGGGAGGATCACTACAGTGCCACAGCATGAGGCGTTGTCCCTGGAGGCAAGGCATTCAGTGTGCTGGCTGAGCCCTTGGGTCTGGAATCCTTCAGGTGCTGAGCACCTATTATGTGCTGACATTGTGCTAAGCAGTGGGTGGTGAGCAAAGATAGGGCACATTAGCTTGTGAAGGAAGCAAACAGGGTGGTGAAACCTGGGGTAAAAGTCAGGGAGGACCTGGGAGAGCACATTGCGCCTGGAGCTGATCATAGCAGCTGTCTCTGAACTTCAGCTGCGTCCCATGAAATAGGGGCAACAAGGGCTGTTCTGGGCGTTCGATGAGATAATCGTGTAACCAGTAGTGACAACACCCTTGAGTAAGGCGATGCAGCTGGGCAGTGAGCAGCCGCAGACGTGGTTGCAGGGCATGGGTGTAGCAGATGCTGTCAGTACTCTGTGCACGTCTTCAGGTTCCTGTATTATTTCAGGACACCCCTGCCAGCACCTGTCCCCAGCTCTTGGAACCTGCTTTTGGCCTCCTGTGTGGAGATCAGGGAGGTATGTGGGGAGTTACTACCCTCAGCCCCCACAGACGGCCCTAACCAACAGCTCCATGTGTGGGGTATAAACACCACCATGTCACCAAGCTTCCAGGAGATTGAGCCACTTTCCCCCGTGACCTCTTGCTTGGCATTCCATCCTTGCTTGAGCTCCTTCTCTTCCAAGTCCCCTCCCCCACTCCTGGGAAGATGCCCGAGAAATCATGTTCCCATAATCTTTGTTGCAGGTCCTATTTCTGAGTAACACAACTTAAGACACTGGAAAATGCCAAGTAACCATTAGGAAGCATCTCCTAAGCTGGGTGGCCCAGTCTTCCTGCCTCTGGTCAAGGCAGGTCCTCCCAAGTTCCTAAGGAATCAGTCACAGTAGCCTTCTGTCTCTGAGGAAATCTGTGCTCCCTGTATTTGAACATGGCAATGGCTATTCCATGGGAAGCTGGCAGGATGGTCCCTGGCTTGTTGCTCACAGTCCTCGATTCAGGAAACCAAGCTGCTGGGCCCAGGCCTCTTGCTGTCCTCCCTCCAGGAACCTGCACAAAGTGCCAAAAGATGCCATAAAATACACACTCAGTTATGATTGCCATCTTCCCCTATTCTTGGGAACCCCAAATGGTTATCCTCAGATTAAGTCTTTATTGTCCATCTTCTCACCTCCCATCCGAGGAGAAATGGCAGCCCTCCATCGGCCGGACTCACAGAGCAGCTGGCAGGGACACCTCCTGATGCTGGTCTGGATTATTTCTCTGGACTTTGTGATCTTTGTGGTATTTGCTAGCTCTTTAAGGTTTTGTGACTTGTGGGCGGTTTTCTAATTTCAAATAAATATTCTTCTTCAGAGCTAATTTTGTGTTCTTTTTCTTAAAGCACACTCCCCAAATTTTAAAAGCTTTAGACAATAGAAAATCTGATGACTATCTGATGAATGGAAGAATTTCCCGCAGACTGGCCTCTGGCTCTGCATGTCCCAGCCCTGGTTTCTCTTCTCCTGCCCACACACTTCCGCTGCCAGATGTGGTAAAGCCTTTGGCCCTGCACCTATCACTGCATCAGGTGAGTGAGCCCCCACACTGCGCGGGGGTGATGTCCCAGAAAGCCATGTGTGACCAGATTGGCCAGCAATAAACATGGACTGGATTACACACAGGGGTGGGCAGAGTTGTGAGCATGCGAAGCACAGTTTATTCTCACGTTAGTATTTATTCTTGTAGTCATATATTTTTTATATGAATGACTATAAACTTACTTTTGCCAATCCCTGTATAATCCAACTGCATATTTTCCTAACATAACCAAATGAATTCATGCCAGTAAACCCAAATATATCCCCAGCTCAAATTCCCTTAGTCACCCCAAATGCCATAGCCCCCTCCCCCACAACCTGACAGGGAGGAAGGTGTAACACAAGAAAAATTGGGGTGGAGACAGGGGACTAAACCTACTACATTAAAAAATCTTACTTTAGCCAACATTATAAAATACATAGTCTTGAAAAAGTATATGACCTTGGAAGGGACTCATGCAAGTAACAGGCCCTAAGCATCAGTCTCCTTAGCGGCTCAGAATGTCTGCCTCTGGTGGCCGAACTGGGTGGAAAGCTCAGACATAACATCCTGAGGTCTGTGGGGTTCAGCCACGCCTTACACGTGTGTGAGGGTGGAGAGTGGCTCACCGCTGTCTCGGACTCTCCCTTTCTTTGGTGTCCCTCAACCCTGAATCCACCAGGCAGAGGATAGCAAACCAGGCCCGTGGCCGCAGATCAGTGAATTTTGCCCCTGAGCTTGCACTTCCTGGCCAGAGACGTCAGCATTCATAAATGCAGCAGCTCCTCTTCTTATGCATTTTCTTGACTTAAGTTACCATCTCAATTTTTAAACTAAAGTTTCTTCTGAAAAAATTCCAGGCGTGCCTCTTCTGAACAGAAAAGGGCAAAGGGATTTAGCTACACCCCAGGCCAGGCCAGCTGGAGGGATGGGATCACCCCAAGGGGTAGGTCTGGTGGGGGCCGGAGCGTCACGGGGGCCAGAGCTCCACTCCAGCCAGTGGAAGGGGGAAGGGCAACGCCGGCATCTACAGGAGGGTCTGCGATCTATACAACAACTTTCACATCCATTATCTCGTTCGAGCTTCACACTCCCTCTGTGGGGTACATGGCGTAGTGTTCAATGCCATCTTTTCTGGGTAAGAGAGACATCAAGCAATTTACCCAAGAGTTTTCAACTAGGAAGGGGCAAGGTCAGGATTTGAACCCAGATCTTCCAAATTCAAACCCACAACAAAGCCAAAGCCATTACCAATAATGGTAATAATACCTATGTGGGTTTTTTTTAGCCTTAATATGTGTCAGACTGCACTCGAACTTTTCACAAATTCTCTCATGCAATCTTGGCGTCATCCGGCTCGAGCTGGGTTTGAAGGACAGGGAGGCTGGGCAGACTGGCAGGCAGACGGGCGGGCAGCCGCCCTAGTGTAGCGCACAGCGTGAGCCCGGGCTCAAAGGCGGCAGGGTGAGCTTGTTCAGACACATTGGCCCCGCCCTTACAGCCGCTGCCCTTGGGTGCTGGCAGGGAGGCCCCCTGGCACCGCTCAGCGGCTCCTTCTTCTCTCTCAGTGGAAAGAGGCGACGCCCTCCTAAAGCAGGGTCTGACACAGCCCCGGCAGCGGCAGCTGGGAGAGACCCCCAGCCTGTCACGACACATACAGCTGCTTCTCTGTAAGACAGGGGCCGGCCAGGGTGAGCTGGTGTGTCACTGAGATTCCCAACTTTCCAGTCAAGTGATGGGCTTGGCTCCCATCGCCCAGCTTTGAAGTCTAATGGGGCCCCTGGCAGCCCCCGGCCTCAGCCAGCTCTGCCCTTCTGCTCCTCTTCCATCCCCCGCCAGGGGCCTGGAGTCTGGGCAGCTCCCTGCTGACCTGCGTTAGGAGGTGGAGGGGCACTTCCTGCTCTGGAGCGGGTGGTGGAGAGTGAGCAGAACTGGGCGTGGCACAGTGGTGGATGCTGGCTATTATTATTATTGCACGAGTTCTGGGAAGACTCTTTCTGTCACTTAAAATGGATTGAGATTTCAGGGCAAGTGTTAGAGAAACTTTACAATTCCTCATAGTGAGACTTTATTTTAAAACTTTACGATTTGAGGGTGGGGCGGACATCATTTTGTTGTTCCACTTATTCATGCATTCACTGGCTGATTCTTGTGTGTGTCCTGACCAGGGGTTGAACTCCTGACCTTGGTGTGTCAGGAGGACGCTCTAACCGACTGTGACTGTCCTAGCTGACCAGGACCTAGTGAGACAGCAGAGGCTGTGACTAGGCTGGAGCTGGCTTGTTTCCTCCCTCCTGCCACTGGCCGTCCCAGGCTGGTTTCCCAACTCTGGTTCATGGTCTGTTTCAGCTTAGACACGGCTGCTAGCTGGAGAGAAGGTGTTTAATACCTCATTAGCACCTCCTGACTGCTTGTTGTGGGCACTAGTCACTTCAGTTTTCTCTCTCTGGAGCGAAAATCTGAGCTGCCTTTGAAAAGCAGACCATATGATGGCCGGGAAACTTCCCCAGCTGGTCCCAATTCTCTCCCTATCTTGGTCCGTTTACCCAAAAAGTGAAACAACTCACTGGTTAGATCTTGGTGATACAGACACATATGCACATTTAAAAAAACAGGGCAGACCTTTAATCCTTCTGCCCCACCTGAAATAAAATCTGTAAGCAGCTTTTCCCAGAGCCTTCCTCCTTCCTTTCTCCTTCCCACACCTGCAGCCCTGCACCCTCGCCCTTGCCACCCACGGTTTGGTACGGGAACCAGGGAGAAAGCAAGGACCCAAATCTGAAGCAGATGTTCGGGACGATGAGTGAGTTTGGGGTGGAGACAATAGGAAGGATGTGGACCCTGCTAGAACTGCTGGTTGCTCTGACCTACTGCCAAGGCCGAGAAAAATAGAGCGACTGTTCCTGGTTAAATACCCAGCTTTCACTCATGCCAGACTTCACGGGGCCTCCATCCCCAGAGTCTCTGGCTCAGTCTCTGAAGTTCTCCATGTCCTCGTGCCAACCACTCTCTTGGCTCCCTTTTCCCACCACGCCAAACCCCTAAGCCCAGCCTGACCCCCAAAAGTCAGGGCTAGAATTTTGCTTTGCTTATCCTCTCATAGTTAATCCACAATGACATTTTTGGAGCCCAAAGTTGAGATACGGGCTGACAAAAAGGGTTTTGTGCTGCTTCCGAGTGCGAGAGGTTGTAAGACACAGCGCGAATGCCAAAACAACAGAATTTTCAAGGTGTAGGGGAATCGTAAGTCAGAACTGTTGAAACCGAACCACTGGGGAACAGGCAGATGCGAGGCTGCTGTGCCCACACCCACATCCAGACATTTGCAGAGCTTCCCACACGCGCCTGCCGGGATCCAACATGCCCGTCACCCTGCCTGGGAGAGCAAGTGTCGGCTCTGCACCCAGCTTTAATTCTGTCGCTTTGGCTTTGTGAGGAGACTCACAGCGGCATCGTCATGCACAGTGTGTCAAAGACGAAATCCCTCTGGGGAAGGAAGCCTGGAGGTTTCCTAAAGGCCATGGCCAGACAAAAGGCCCGTCCAGCTGCAGTCCAGCTCAGAAGCCTGGGGAATCGGTGCTGAGAGCCACCCACAGCCCGGAGAGGGACACACACCGGCTGCAGCACACCGCAGAGAGGCGGCCAAGGACTCTGATTGCCTGGGCTTGATGAACGCCCAGGGAAACCGAGTGAAGCTCAGTGCGCCCTCCCACCGTGATCACGACCAAGCAACTTCACGGCCGCTCATGAAGCGGAGCTGCCTCTTCCCGCCCCAGGTTCACCGGAAACACCATGGAAACACCATTCCTTTGTTTCCCCTCTGCCACCCCCTGGTCACGCGACCCTAGTGCAACCCTTCTGAGTGTTCTTAGTGCTAGAGATGCTTCCCTCTCCCCATCCACTCAAGATTTTAATTTCATTCACCGAGCTGCAAGGCCGCTGGCCAGTGCCCACTGCCAAAGTCAACACCTCTGGGCTGCTTCGTCTGGGAGAGTAGGTAAAAGGGAGACTGGGTCCTAAGACCGTGGAGTTTCCTTTCCCAGGACCTGCTCAGGTGATGGCATATTTATGGCACAGTGAGGGGCTTGCTCCTTGGGTCTCTTGGTTTGGAATTCATCTTTGCAAGGGTTCTTGCTTCTCTGAAAATCAATAGGGAGAGCAATTTCCTTCCCTTTGTGCACGGTAAGGAGCTAGACAAATTTCACTCGCAGCTGTTACTCTATACTATGGAAAGTCTCCAAATGCATAAACAGAAATGTCCCCCCGCCCTGCTTCAATTAAACAGGAATGAGAGAAACTAGGGGGGTGGGGGGTGATGGCTTTGGGTGCTCAAGTCTTGGGGGAAGAAAACTCTAAGGGAAGTAGATTGTTTACATGTCTGTCTCCCTCAACGACACTGTGAGCTGCTCAGAGGCAGGGATCATGTTCTGTCTTGTGTGTCTCTAGCTCCTTGCACAGTGCCTGATACATAGGAAACGTCTGCTGCAACGCAGAGATGCAAAGAACTACAGGGAGAAGGGAGCCACAAACCCAGTGATGGAACAGAAACAGCACATTTGCTATTCTGTTCTTTCCTGTGTTCTTTTTCTTTCTTTCTTTTTCTTTCTTTCTTTCTTTCTTTCTTTCTTTCTTTCTTTCTTTCTTTCTTTCTTTCTTTCTCTCCCTCTTTCTCTCCCTCCTCCCTCCCTCCCTCCCTCCCTCCCTCCCTCCCTCCCTTCCTTCCTTCCTTCCATCCTTCCTTCCTTCCTTCCTTTTCT